CTTGTCCGCAGACAAGTCGCGGACAAACGCCCGAGATCCCCAGACACGGAACGCAGACGCATGCCGACCTTCCCCGTCCACAGTAACACTGGGGACATCGCGGGCCGAGAGACCCTGGGGTGAAGGTTGAGCTGATGCGCCGCGTACCGAACCGCAAACGGCCACAGAAAATGGGGGGCAGCCGCATGCATCATGGACGTACGAGCGACATCCATGACCATGCCAATGCGGCGCTCAGCAATCCCATTTTGCTGTGGAGAGTCCGGAATCGTAAAGGTCTGGCGGATCCCCTGTGCACGACAGTAGTCTCGCAGAAGGCGAGAGGAGAACTCCCCACCTCGGTCAGAGTGCAGACGCAGAACAGGAAAGTCCGAGCCGAAGCTCCTCCTGAGCTGGAGACGAGCCTCGCGGATCCAGTCGATCAGCACCTCAGTGACAGCACCCTTGCTGCGCAAGGGGAAGACTGAGGTGTAACGCGAGTAGTCGTCAACCACCAACAGGAAGTAGCGCTCGTGACCCTGCCCACGGACGGGGGCCGGGCCCCACACGTCCATGTGAAGCGTCTGCAGAGGAGCCTCTGTCGGGGGAAACTGGGAGGAGTGAGGAGCAGCCCTGAGGCGCCCCTCGACACAGGGGACACAGGAAGGTCCTGGTCCCGAAGGAAGGGGATGGAGAGACTGGGGAAGACCAGAGACAAGGACACGGGAAGCCATGCCCCGAAGACGGGGCAAGGAGGGGTGGCCTAGACGGTGGTGCCACAGAAGAGTCTCGTGAGACAGGAGGCGACACGAACAGGGGGCAGACTCAGGGCCAGACCTGGACGCAGCAGCAAACACCTGACCCGACGCTGCTACCTGACCGGACGCGGGGACAGGAGGAGACTCAGTGGTCAGGGTGTAGAGGCTCGACCCCTGCCGACGCGAGAACGTGGCCAGGTGCCGGCCTGTGCGTGCGTCCGTGCAGTGGGTCACCCGCTGACTCGCAGGAGTGAACTGGTGAACCCCCGCATCCTGTAGGTCTGCACCACTCACCAAGTTCGTCGAGAACGAGGGGAGGTACAGGCCAGACAGGGTGCCCGAGGGGGCAGCCGGACACGGGAGGACAGTGGAGAAGTGAGCGAGGACAGGACCCCCAGAGGGGTCAGCTAGGGAGACTGCAACCGGCCGACCAAGCGGCGTGAGTGTGGTGCGGTCCCGAAAGAAGGAGCGAGAAGCCCCAGAGTCAAGTGTAAAGGTGAGGGAGGCCGAAGCCAACGCGGTACCTGAGAGCGCAGCCTCACCCGCACCTGAGGAAGCAGACTCACTAGCACCTAGAGCAGCAGCCGCACCTGTACCTGGAGCAGGAGACTCACTAGCACCTAGAGCAGCAGCCTCACCAGTAGCTAGAGCAGCAGGTCCTATACCTGGGTCAGGCGGGACGCACAGGTGACCGGCACGGTCAGCACTAGTAGGCAATGCATACATGGCAGTGAGAATAGCATCATAGTCAAGAGCATATATATCTACCCTCTGCCTAAGCAACTCCACCCAGTCGGGAAGCTCAGCCTCGTCGCCAAACACGGTACGCCAGGCGTCGCTCAGACGGGCGAAGCAGCGGGACGGTGTATGACTACGTGTCCCACAAGGCTGACCAGTCCGAGTACCAGTGCGAATCACGTAAGAGCAGCGAACAGCACTGAGAGACCCTCCACTCTGAGCGTACCACTCACGAAGCTGGCGAGGCGTGAGAGACACGCGAGAGGGTCGCGGGAGCTGCATCTGGCCGCCACCACGAGTAGAAGCAGCAGGAGTGGTAGTAGGAGTAGCGTCGCCACCCCTACAGCCCCAACCAGCGTACCACTCACGCAGCTGCTGGGGCGTGAGGGACTCACGCCGGCGTCGCTGGGGCTGCATTTGGCTCCGCAAGTAGAAGCAGGAGCAGGACTAGCAGCAGGGAGGCAGGCAGCCAGGCAAGCCAAAAGGCAGGCAGGCAGGCAAGCAGGCGACGCGCAGCGTGCTAGCAGGGCAAGAGCTCACCAGTGGTGGGAAGAGTAGGCTCGGCGACTCAGCGGCTCGGCAGCTCGGCGGCTCGGCGGCTCGGGCGGCTCGGGCGGCTCGGCGGCAAGGCGGCTCGGCAGCAACTGCAGCTCAGCAGCTCGGTGACACGGCGGCTCGGCGGCAGGGCGGCTCGGCTGCTGGGCGGCTCGTGTGCAGGGCGGCTCGGCGGAGGGGCGGCTCGGCTGCTGCAGGTGAGCGGCTCGGCTGCTGCAGTGGGAGATGAAGGAGGAGGAGAAGCAGGGGAGGCCACACACCTGCCACCCCTCTGCTGGCGGCCCCCGAAGGAGCCGCGACGGGCGACGGGAAAAGGGGGGGTGGGTGGTGGGGGGCCGGTAGGTGCAGCGGCGGGGCCAGCAGGTGCAGTTGCGGGGCCGGTAGAAGGGGACGGCAGGAGCCGTCAGGAGGGGACGGCGGGGCCGTCAGGAAGGGACGGCGGGGCCGTCACGAAGGGACGGCGGGGCCGTCAGGAGGTGACCGGGCCGCGACGGGGGCAGGCGGCGGGGCCGCGTAAGGGCCTGGGCGGGGCCGCGACAGAGCCGTCGGCGGGGCCGCGTGAAAGCCGGGGCGGGGCCGCGTAGAAGCCGGGGCGGGGCCGCGCGAGAGCAGGCGGCGGGGCCGCGAAGGAGCCGGGGCGGGGCCGCGTGAGAGCAGGCGGCGGAGCCGCGTAAGGGCCTGGGCGGGGCCGCGACAAAGCCGTCGGCGGGGCCGCGTAGAAGCCGGGGCGGGGCCGCGCGAGAGCAGGCGGCGGGGCCGCGAAGGAGCCGGGGCGGGGCCGCGTGAGAACAGGCGGCGGGGCTGCGACAGAGAGGGCGGCGGGGCCGCGTCAGTGAAGGCGGCGGGGCCGCAGGGGAAATGGCGACCCGAGGGGTCGCTAAAAAAAAGATCGCGCCTCGGGGGGCGCTTCGGTGGGCCCAAAAAAAAAACGGTCCGTAGAAGGACCCGCTCTATACCATGTCAGAATCAGCGAACAGGAATGGATGAACTAGAAGTGAAAAGAGTACAAGTAGTAAACCCTAGAATTGTGTACCCCCTATAGGCTAACCCACTGTAGCCTACACAAGTATAACATATATAATGTTTGACAGAGAGCCGCCTCGTTCTCGTCCAGTCCTGTACGTAGACAACAAGGCCATGCTGGCCTTGTGTCGAGAGCAGCGACTGGAGCACAGGACAAAGCACATTGCTCTCTGTTACTTTCTTGCTCGTGACCTACAGCAGCGTGGACAGTTGCGGCTTGCGTACGTGGCCTCTGAGGCCAACACTGCTGATGTTTTCACCAAGGCACTTGCGCCTTATGATCATCAGCGCTTCTGCACTCAGCTGGGTCTTGTGCCTGTCTTGCCTCACTTGCTCACTTCTTGACCTTGCTTGTACTGTCACATATATATACTCCTGCTCTTGCTTGCTTAGCCTCGTATATTTATAAATATATATATATATATATATATATATATATATATATGTGCTCTTGCATGTGAACTGGCCTTTTGGCCTTTGAACTTGTGCTCGGAATGTGTGGTGACTTTGTGATCCACCCTGAGCTTTGCTTTGCTTTACTTGACTGGTCTTGTGACCTCTTCTTCTCCCCCACTTTGCCTATGGGGGTGTGTCAGAACATCATAGCTTATGCTATTGTGTTGGCTATAGTTGGGTATCCCATAGGGGGTACAACCCAACTAGGGTTTCATATTTGTACTAGCTTCATTCATAGTTCACATCATTCTCGTTCTAATCTTCTCACACATCACCCTCCAGGGACGTACAAGGAACAGATTGCGTCTACTGGTGGTCCCGATATAAATTATCAGCAATCATGGCGGTACGTTTCCAAACGTTCGATCCACATGACCGCCATTGTCACATGCACGTTCTTAATCGCCCCATCCGCCTCATGTTTGTGGGTACCTTCTTCTGTTTTCTTGTACACCGTCGTCTATTTCTGCAGGCTAAAGGAAAAGATGTTGAAGGAACGTTTTGGAGATTGGGAAACTTCTTTTCGCTACATTCCGCGGGTCTTGGAACGGTTCAAAGAGATAGACCCACATTCAACGCTCAACCTGGTGACAAAGGATCACGCTTTCTTCCAGGCTTTTGTCGCCCCATCGGCGTCACGAACAGCTCTAAGGTTCTGTCGACCAGTCATTGGTATGGATGGTACATTTCTCATTCGTGCGCAGCGGGCCACGCTCTTGGTAGCAGCTGCTAAGGATGGAAATAACCAGCTTGTTCCACTTGCTTATGGCTTGTGCGAGAGTAAGAAACAAAGATAGTTGGATGTGGTTTTGTGCGAACTTGTTGAAGCATTTTCCGACGTGGCCGGACACCCAGGATGCCTCCCTCATCAGCGATCGTGACAAGGGGTTAATACCGGCGGTTAAAGAAGTTTTCCCATCCCAGTTCCCCCACTACTTTTGCAGCTGGCACTTGGAATAGAATGTGCTCAAGTTTGGCCCTAACGCCTCCGAACTCTTCAAGAAGCTCGCCAACTGCCGCACCAAGCGGAAGTTTGGCAAACTCGTGAGGAGATGCCGGGCCGAATGTGCTGGAATGGCTAACTATCTCTTTGGGGTCGAGGAGACTAGTGCGCAGCAGACCCGCGGCGGACGCGGGGCCAACCAGCGTGCACGGGAGCCAGGGGCAGGGGATGGGTTTGGAAGCCGCACGGGTGCCGCAGGAAGAGCGAGAATGGCAAGGACGGAAGTGCGGCGGCAAATGAGGAGTGGTCGCAGGGGACAGCAGCAGGCACCATCACAGCAGGCACCATCACAGCAGGCACCTTCTCACCAGACACCATATGAGCAACGACCATTTCAGCAGCCACCATCTCAGCAAACACCGTCAAATCAGAGAAGGGTACATCAGCATTCAACTCAGCAGCAACCATCCCAGCAGCCATCATCCCAGCAGCAGCCATCTCAGCAGCAACCATCTCAGACGCCCCATAGGGACCATGGGTTCGGACCCATGCCAACTGCAAATCTTACCCGTGACCGCCCTAGTGACATGCAGCCTCAATCTACGGCTGCTGACAACGTGCATCCACTTGAACGTGTCACAGCAACCACGTCCGATAGAGAGATAGAGCACCCTTCTTTGGCAGGCGAGAATGCAAGAGATAGAGCTACAACCATATCCGATAGTGAGGCCGAGGCAGATACCACAGAAGAAGTGTTCAAGGAGCACTTTGACGTGGAGGATGGGAGCCAAATCAGCTGCGGGGAGGAGCCGGGGCCTGATGAGGATGAGGAGCGTGCAGACATGGGTCACGGCTCCCAATCCACCAATACTACAACTCATCCTCTATCCACCACAACAGCGCAACAAGCGGCCATGAGATGCCAACGGCGGATGGAAATTATCAGGGGAAGGCGGAATGCAAGAGAGGCAGGTGCAAGAGGGCGGGAACGAGCTGGAACACCAGTAGCACGGCTGCCAACGCAAGGGAGCCAAAGTGCGCGTCAGCCAACACTGCAGCAGGGTGTTAAGACAGACATGGGTCAGGCCAACGACGCCGCAGAGGCCACGGACGTCAACCACGGACGACAAACGGGACTGGGGGGCTTGGGCAATGCGGATGCTGAGCGGGTGGACAGTGACACCATGGAGGAAGGGGCGGCCATTATTGTGCGCACGGGCCAGGATGGACCGAGAAACAAGAGGAGGAAAAAAATCACAGTATTCATCAAACAATGGGCACGGTGTTATGCCCCCACATGTCGGTTTGGCATCTACAGCAGCCAGATGGTGGAGTCCATCAACAATGCCATTAAGAAGATCCGCATCTTGCCGGTATCTTACGTAATGGCGGGCATGTGGGATTGGATGGCAAAAATCTACTCGGATGGGCAGCGGAAGTCATCCAACTGGCAGCATGCATTGACGGTTGAAGCTGAGAAGCGGTTTGATCTGAAACAGAACCGAAGCCGAGGATACAGGGTCACACGAAATGGTCCAAGCAAGGCAATGGTTCGGAACAAGGGGGAGCGCGTTGGATCGACGTCCTCTCTCCTTCAACAATGATGTGGGAGAGAGAATGTGCGAGTGCAAGAACTGGCAAGAATATCGGTTTCCCTGTTCTCATGCGTTTGCACACTTACGGGATAGGCAAATGGATGTTATCCCCTTGATCACCAGGTATTGGAAGACGAACAACTGGAGAAGGACGTACTCGGCGCTCATTCCGTATTCGTGTATAGACACGGTCATTGCGGAGACCAAGCCCGTTGAGGAGGGAGTTTGTGATCCCCCCGTTTTTGTGCAGAGAGGATCAGGGCGGCCACAATCTAACCGAAGGCGTGAAGCACCAAAGCGGACATACAAGTGTGGCGACTGTGGGTCTACTCAGCATACCAGGAAGAAGTGTAAGGGAAAATATGGGGGGTCAGAGGTGTATCATGTAGCAAACTAATGGGGGGGTGCGATAACATGCTTAGTCTTGAATAATAGGGACTGTGGTAGGCTGCTTGTTCTCTGCTTCTAGATGAATATTGGTGACTGCCAAGAAAAAAAAATAATGATCCCACATATGACCAGTCATATAACTTTACGCTCCTGACCAATAATATACTCTCGAACAATTGAATGGCCCTATAGTATACCGCACTTGACCAGTAATACACACACGCACAGATGACTGCGCATATGCTCCCGCGTATATGACCAGTCATATACACATGAACACGTGACTGGTCGAAACACAACGCGCATATGAACGGTCCACTAGCCGAATTTTTGGGTTCGTTGTTAACGCACGCTCATACCGTTACGTGCGAAAGACGGATACAGTATAGTAGTTTAGTTAGTGCTATGAATACAATGAAATAATGGTTGTATAGGTCAAAACTCCCACAGATATGTTGTGATGCTCCGTAAGTTGATATAGAAACATGTATTCACGCATTTGGACGGGAATGATTGGACGCTCAATGGCAAAGCATATCCTGAGATTAAAACAAACCAATCACGCGCGGTAATTTAGTTTATCGCGAATTGATGGCCGATCATTTCGGTATATGATGGGGAATTCAATGATGACGCCTGATTGGACGCTCAATGGCAACATATGCACCGCGCATTTTTTTTACGAATCATGCGCGTGCATTAGGGGTGTGGCTGTTCGCTTCGGGTCTATAGGATTATATGATCGAGAAGTTATATGCTCGATCGCTGATTCGTTCGGAATTAGATGGACCGCGCGCTCATTGGTCGTGCATTTGGCCGAAATTGACCGGTCAATGTACTGTTGGTCGGTTTCTTGTACAGTGGGCGGGCCACTTTCGCGTCCGTGAGCCTGGCGAAATTTTAAGTTGCGGAACAGAACGGAACACTACCTAGGGATACCACTCGCACGAATAAGGAATTTCGGGGCTACAAATCCCCGTAGGGTAATTCGCCGGTGAAAAAAAAAGCGAGCAGGAATCCCCTGGCGTGGCCACTCGAGTAATTATCACCCAATTTCGTGGCCACTCGAGTAAATCGAGGCCCCCCGAGAGAGGACGAATCACCCGATTGGCCACTGGAGAAATTCTCTCAACCGAATCGCCACAGATGAGCCTTCAGCTCACAGTTTCGGGAATAACATGCTAAGGGGTGTCCCAGTAACCAAGTGGTAAATTTTCTGTAGTCCTTTCATACATGTTACGGGTGCAATGTAGCGAGGGTAGCGAGGTTTGCACTGAAACATACCAAGCCCTAGAATGAGCTCAGATGGGCAAACACGGCCATACGCGAGACATTATAGCGAGGAACAATAGCGTGAGATGACAGCGAGAAACAATACAACACCTAGAATGAGTATACAACAATACAACACTCGGGTTCATAACGCGCCTCGTAATATGTTCTCGCTGCATTTGTGTGCTCGTCCAACTGCAAATTGTGCGAGTGAGCACACATACGAATGCCAGCCAAGTCAAATCACATGTTGTGTTACCACCTGCGAAAGCTGACTTTGAGGGTTCGTCAAATAGCTGAGTTACCAGCCGTACCAAGGCCCAACAGATACTAGCGTTGCGGGGCGACAATAATCGTTGAGCCTCTCGCCGCGGGGTAGCATCAGGAAGCCGCTTCCATCGAAATTATTACCAGCAAATTACCAAATGAAGCCGCTCCCAACAGTTATTATCGAGCCAATCGCCTTCCAAACTTTTGACTCACGATGCGTGTTACAACGTTTTCGTGGCTGTCGCCTAGCAGTCACTTTGTGAAGAGACCAAAATTATTGTTTTGGAAGCGGAGCCCCAATTACCAGGAAAAATATCGAACCGACTCGAGCCGCACTCTGCATTGAACATCTGAGAGTCACGAAACTAAATTAGTCTCCTGCTAATTCACCATCATCATCCAAATCTATCACTGCCATCCAAGCGTTCAGTGTGTCTGATACTCAAGCCCGCTTGGTTAGTTTTAGTTTTCAGACTTGGGCTGTTCCTAGTCAGCAGAAAGCTCCCGCAGTATCTAAGCCACTCCCTGCTCCCTTTCTCCAATGGCTCGCCTTTTCAAGGTCGGCTTCTTACTGTGCGTAGGAATCGGTCTGCTTGCTCTCTCCCTCACTCCGGCCGATGCCATGTACGCCACATCCGCTGATCTGAACCGCGAGGGCACGTGCTACCGCGGCCAATTCGACTACGGCGAGAGTTCGGATTTCGACTACGGCATGGTAGCGCAGGTTCCTTCGGGCGATTTCAACAGCGGAAAGGGCTGCGGAAGGTGCTACGAAGTCTCCTGCATGGACCACCCGAGCTGCTTGGAGGGCAGCGTGCTGGTGCGCGCGGTCGGCCAAAACGGCGACTTCAACCTCAACTTCGCCGCGTGGGATAGAATCGTCGCTGACCGGGCCGCGGGGCGCGTGGAGATCGACTACCGCAGCGTGGACTGCCCTAGCAACGGCGGAATGAAGGTCAGATTAGTCGACGATAGCAACTCGTACAACTTCGCGCTTCAGATTCTTGGAGCGGCGTGGAGCGGAGGCGTGGAGAACGTGGAGCTGTCGAATGACGGGTCGCAGTGGTCGAGCATGACGACGTACAGATGGGGCGCCACGTGGGTGCTCAATCCCGCCAAGGACGTCGTCGATGCGGGGCGCCCCGTGAGCGTGCGCGTGACGGGCGGCGGGCAGCAGGTGGTGTTGCAAGACGTGATTCCGAGCGGATGGAGTGCCGGGACGACCTACGAGAGCGGCACCAACTTCTAAAGGAGAAACGTCGCGAGAGGGTGTATAGGTGCAACAGTATTCTGCTAATAATGGGACGCCCTGTAACGAGTTGATGCGGCGCACGTGCAGCCACCGTGGCATGGCTGTGTGCAAGGCAGAGAATAATAGGCCGGCCCTGTGGAGGTGGATGGGATAAGGCTGGTAGTGTGATCCGTTGAGATGCTAGGAGTATTTGCTAGGTAGCTGTAAGTGTTGTTGCTGCGAGCTATCCCTTTCCTTCCAAATGTCATCCTTTTTGCTATCAATCAAATGCGAGCGATATTAAATATTCTAGTATATACACAAAACTACCGTAAGAACCACCAAATGGAGAACATGCTTACGCTAAATTGACTCAAGAAGTGGTTCCTCCTGGCTACTCTGTCTTGAGGCTTTTCTTGGCCCCCCTGGGCCTTGGTGTTCGGATGAAGTTGCCTGCCACGATGAGCATCACAGGCACTAATGTGCCGTAGTAATAGAGCCCCCTGTATGCCTGCACCGTGTGCTGGAACGTCATCACCTGCACGAAGGAGCACCACGAGAGGGAAAGGAGATTGTAAATAATGAAAGACGTGCACAGGAATGCGAGTGGCGGAAAGAGAAACCAAGGAGGGGAAGGGGGGTGTGGAGGGGCGGGTGTTGTGAGAAGGGAAGTAGCTCGGCACATGCAGGCAAACACACATGCGGTGCTCCACTGCAGCACGTGCAGTCTGACTGACACCCACGACAACAAACCCAACGCAGACGCACTCGCTCAACTACTCCGCGTTCTAAGGCACACATGCTTACACTGAATCGATTTTTGAGTCGACTCAAAAATCGACTCATCACACGTGCTTAACAACTCCGCGTTCTAAGGCACACAACAAATGCTCACACTGATTGAAGCCAAAGCCAGCGTAGTTGATGCAGAGCAGCACGTGGCACGAACAATATTTCTATGCATCTCAAAAACCACCTCAAATTGCCTCAAGCACTCACACTGATCCCGATTCCAGCATAGTTTACGCAGAGCAGCACGTAGAGGAAGCGCAGCAGCGAGCGAGGCAACATAGATCCAATCACGCACTTCAAGATGCACAAGCACTCACACTGAAGCCAAAGCCAGCGTAGTTGATGCAGAGCAGCACGTAGAGGAAGTGCAGCAGCGAGGCAGCGCGGCGAGGCAGCGAGCCCTGGGCTAGAGGCCGCGACCAGCGGTAGATGACTCGCGACCCCGCTATCATCAGCGCCCAGTGGGCGAAGCCTATCAGATCCCCTGGGTTCAAACCCTGAGGGAGGAGGAGGGAATGGGAGGGAGGAGAGGGAGGGAGGGAGTTGTTAGAGAATATCGGACCAATGAGCTTTGGCTTAGAGGGAACGGCCAGCGGTAGATGACGCGCGACCCCGCTATCATGAGCGCCCAGTGGGCGAACCCGATCAGATCCCCTAGGTTCAGACCCTGCGAGGAGAGGAAATGGGGGAGGCGAGGGAGAGATGAGTGCCAAAAGTTCAGGCTCGTGGAGGGAAGAACAAGAGTTGAATGGCAGTAGGTCAAACCTTATGGGTTCAGATCAGGGAGTGGTGGAAATAAGGGCAATGAGAGCAGCAGCCACGTGACACAAGTGTGAACCGAGAGGGCACTCACATGCGAGATGGCGCTGATGAAGAATGTGAAGAGCAGGTTAGAACAATGCACTCCTCCCCTTCTGAGGAGGCTCAGAAATCAACCACATGACATGAAACGTTAAGAGAGAGGGCACTCACATGCGAAATGGCGCTGATGAAGAAGGTGAAGAGCAGGTTGAATAGTGCACTCTCCTTGGCATTGCCTCCAGCCGCTCATACACGTCTGTGTGGGGGAGCGCCACGGGGGAGAGGGAGCAGTACAGACAAATGAGGGATAGCAAAGGAGTGAGCAGAATCGTAACGTGAGGTGATAGTTGAATGCGAGGGACAATGGGGGGTCACGTTGTGATGTGCAGCATTGTGATGTTGGATAGCACAGACGAGGATGGTAAGAACGAGGATGGCACTAACAAGGATGGCAACCTGTGGACCCTATATGCTTGCAGGCAGCAGCAACGGCGCCGATGCTTACAGATGCGCAGCCACGTGCTGAAGGAGATGTTCCAGTTCTTTGCCACGTCAGCGCCCGTGCTCGCGAGCTCCATGCCGAGGATATTCACGTTGCGCGCCCTATCCCACGATGCCACCTGTCGCTCGGCACCTGACGCCGCCACCTGCCGTTCCGCACGTGAACACTCAGGGGCGTCATCAGCATCAGTGCGAGTGGCGGCAGCAGCAGCAGTAGTGGGAGCAGCAGCAGGAGAAGCAGTGGCGGTTGCAGCAGCAGACGCAGTAACAGGAGTGGGAGCAGCAGGAGCAGCAGGAGCAGCAGGGGTGGCAGCGTGTGATCTCTTCTTCTCACCACTTACTGCAGAGCCCTTGACTCCCGCTGTGCTGCCCCCCTGCTTGTTCACCAGCTCTCCCATCATTACCCGCCCTCCCATCATCACCTGCCCTCCATCTGCTGCTGCTGCCGCGGCTGCCTGTCCTGTGCTGACACCATTCCTCTCCGCATGGTTCTCCTTCCCGTCGTGCTCGTCTGCTGCCCCCTCCCCTGCAGCAGCTGAGTTAGCAGCAGAGGCAGCAGCAGCAGCAGCAGCAGCAGCAGCAGCAGCAGTCGTATCAGCAGCACCACCACCAGCAGCACTAGGGGCAACAACAGGACCACCAGCAGCAGTAGCGGCAGCAGCAGCACCACCACCACCAGCAGCAGCACTAGGTTTAGCAACCCAACCAGAGAAGCCGAGGCCGCCAGCAACCATGGCAGCTTCCGCAATGGACCAGACGATGTAGCAGCGCCAGCGCGTGACGAGCGTGGCGTGGAACACCAGCAGCAGGCGCCGCAGGAAGGGCAGCACGAAGAAGCGCGCCGGGTCGGTGGCGAGGGAGAGGTCGAGGGTGCGGGAAGATGAGGAGGAAGACGGCTGCTGCCAATGAGCCTTGGACGAGCACGCGGAGGAAGGGCGGGATGGGCGAGGGGGAGCGCACCGACGGGGACCACACCTGCAGGAAGGACAGGGGGGGAAATGGGAGATAGGGGAATGAGGGATGGGGAAGGGTGAAGGGGGAAAGGAATTGCATCCTTGTCATTTCTATTTCTTTTGCTGTTGCTGCCCCATCTATATGTACCTGCTGTGGCATTAATACAAATGACCACTTGGGATGAAGAAATTAGCCTCACTCCAAACCCTAGACCCGAAACCCTCGTTGGTAAGGCAATGCCAACATGCTGAGCCATCATTCCGCTTATGGAATGTAGAACTCATTCACGGCCAAGCCCAACCCGTTAATTACCTCCCAGTCTTGAACCTCGGAATAAGGGTTTATGCTCTACCTCGGTTCATGTTCATGCTCTAACTTATTCCTTATTTGATGGTGCAGCAACTCTTACCTTGTTTATGCACTAACCACTCATCACATCAGTGTGCCCAATCAACACATAGGATTTAACAAACCCCACTAGGGTTTCTTGGTCCCTGTTGCTTGCGTACTCATTGCTGACCTCACACCACAACTTTCCAGGTTTCCGGTTTGTCCCTACCCACTCCAAGTAACACTAGGGTTCCTATCCACGCACTCACCCCGCGGCGGTGCGTCCAGTCGTCGTAGGATTGATAGTCGAACCACGGCCCAAGCAGATGCTGCCCGCAGCAGAAAAGATACCCCAGAAACTCCACCAGCGACGGCATCTCTCTAATCACTCTCGCCCGCTTCTCCGCCTTTCTCCGATCATCGCGCGACGGCTGCTCGCTCTCGGGTTTCTCGCCGTCTTTCGCGCGCTTCGCGTCGTCCTTTAGGGCTTTAAGGCCGTCCTGGTAGTCCATGGCGAGTGACGTCAGCTTAATCGCCACGATAGTTAGAGTCCCCGTGAAGTCCACGCGGCCCGTTCTCCGCGCGTCGTCGCTCATGAAGATGACGGTGGCTGCGCGGGATTAGGCGACGAGGAGGGGAGGCAGGTGAATAGCGAGAAGCAGAGGAAGCAAGTTGCGGGGTACGCGAGAGGCGGAGGGCGCGAGTTTGCGGGGAGAGGGGGAAGAAGGGGTTTGGGGAAGAGGGAGAAGGAGGGGGAAAGAGGGGTGAAGAGGAGACGATGTGCAAAGCGCACAGGAAAAGGAAAACTCTGGCGTGCTCAAGAAACAATAGTAAGAGAAAGTAGAGAACGCAGGAGTGCCGATGGCACTCGCGCATTACGACGACTCCGTCGTTCAAAGTGACGGAAAACAAGCGCGGCTGAGAGCGCAACCTGCGGCGCAATTCTCGGGCCAGCTCAAAAGGTAATCTATGGCTACAGCTTCAAACGATTTACCTTATCTTATTCAAGCGAACTACTACGCGAATAGATGCGACCTGCCCCTGATGCGACCTGCCTCAGATGCGACCTGCCCTTGATACCAACTCGATGGAATCCACGTACCATGCGATGAGATGTGCGAATGTACCAATGAAGGTAACCAGTCCGCAGATGCTTCGCTGCGTTCGCATGACGACGAGTGTGAAGGCCGCTGCGAGGATGAAATGCAGCAGCACGTCGGGAGTGAAGGAGATTAACGATAGAAGCACCCCGGAAACTGCGGCGTATACATGGCGGAGCGCGGGAGGGCCGATAAACCGGTGAAGGTACGCGACGGGGATGGACGAAAGCGCGCCGACGAGGTACGCTGCGGCGGAATAGTCTACACCGAATGTATCGGAGAATAGTCTCACGGGATCCATGGCTTAACGATTTCTTAACTACGATTCTCACTGGCTACGTTCTATGCGAAAGGTTCCCTCACAAGGAATTGAAGTAAATATCAGACTTAATCGTCTGATAATCTTCCGACGTCTTTTGTTTCCTGCCTAAAGGTTAGCGCGTTAAGGCTGTTGATCTTGTTGAAAGAAATCCACGGTTCTAGCTCTAGTCACAAATTGCTGTGAGTTAACGAGACTTATAAGTTGAACCGTCCATCCTCCCACTCCCACTGGTGCTGTGATTGACTAGTAGCAAACAGCACGCCGCCAAATAGCTTGATCACTAGCCGTCGGTACCGCTCGGCGCGCGGGACGAAGGAAGGACAAAGGCAATTAAGGTCAGGTCAGGAGAGGAAGGAAGGGCGCCTGAGCAGCCATCAGAAGCATGCTGGTTGAGTAGTACAGCGCGAATTTGTGGGCAAGGTAAGAACCGTGGTGATTCTTGGTACTAATCGTTTTTGAACGGTTGAAGCTTCGAAACCCGCTGCGCCGGGGCGTACCGAGGCGTTCCGCACCACGCCGAAGCTACTGTTTGCTTCGAAATGAAGGTCTAGAAGCTTGTGCTGTTGGCGAAAGTCGTAACAGGACGATAATGATGGGACTAGCGAGCTGTTTTACATTTCGTGAGTTATGCGTTACAGGCCCGTTGCTTTGTCCTTGGTAGCCAGACCAAGGAGCCTAGTTCCGCAAATCTGCTAGGCTGGTGGCAGGCAGGGAAGGAGTTGTGAACGACAATTCCCCCCCACAGCCGCTGAAGTGACCGTGGGCGGGAGAGAACGCCCCGCGACGCGACGCGACCATCACCAATAAATGCCGCTGTTGCCGAAAACACGGTTGCTGGTTCATCAGCTCCGTTGTCGGTCCAAAGCTCCCACCGATTCGCGCCAACCAATAGGGTGTCTCCCAAAGCACGGCGCGTCAATTTGACGATGATCAAATTCCGCGTTACGCCCTCACCACGAGCTGTTCGTGCAATGGAGTAACACATGTGCAGTGATGACCAGGCCTGTCAATTGGTCTCTGGCTGGACTCCGGGCTGGGCACAGAACCAAGATGCCTAGATGCGGTGATAACAGTCCATCGTGAAACTGCACGACAGATGTTTCCGAGAATCTCTGGTGGGGGCGACATCTCGCCACTTTCGTCCAAAATTTGGAAGATCCTCGGATGGGGTAAGTTCAGTCCTCAAAATGCACATACACCATATGTTTTTCCTCGCTATCAAGAAAATCAGGCTAGGTAACCACCCGTTCCTTCCAGTATTACAAAACTGACAAGACACCTGCTAAATGGCCAACAAAACAAGAGCTGCTGCTGTGTGTGGATTCTGACTCATAATGCACATCAAAACTTTCACCAAACCTATTTACAGAGGTCAACATTCATTCATGTGTAGTTTGACCTGAACATTCCATAGTGCTCCTGACCCGACCCTACAAGCTCTTGAGAATCCGTCCGTCTACACATCCCCTTTCCCCTCCCTCCACTCTACAGTTGTCGAACTACCCTGCCTTACTGCCTCCTTCCCCTCCTTTCCACATCCTGCCCCACGCCTGCACCTTTTGCCCCTACAACACCCCTGCACTAGCACAAAAGCTTTGACCCGTGTGCTAGGGAAGTGCGTGAGTCGTGACGTGTAGTAGGAGAGTCCAATTTGGGAGAACAGGGAGGGTGCGGGAAAAGGGAGGGTGGGGGAACAGGGAGGGTGGGCCACCTAGATCCGTGATTAAGAAATCATATCTTTCGGCAATGAGGGTGGGAGATCAAGGAGGGTGGGAGAACAGGGAGGGTGGGAGATCAGGGAGGGTGGGGGAACAGGGCGGGTAGGGGAACAGGGAGGGTGGGGAGAGGGAGTGGGAGAGTTATGAAGAGAAAGGGGAGGATGGAAAGTGGGACACAGGAGTTGTTTCAGTGGGGTAAACGTGTGGGGTCAGTCAGGAGGTGGACGGATGCAGTGGAGTAAGTTGGTGGCTGGAGGAAGGTAAGTAACGGAATGAGGTGGGGAGTCGGGGGCAAGCGGTAAGGCAGATGGGAGGAGGAGAGAAAAGAGAAAAAAGGAAGGAGAGAGGTAGAGAGGGTCGAAAGGAGAAATCTGTAGTGGGTACGTAGGAGATCAGTACATTGGAAAGGAAGTGGAGAGGATTGACGAGAGAGAGGGAGAGAGGGAGAGTAAGGCGGAGGGAGGTGAATAACAGATATGCATGTGGTAGAGTGTATGGAGGTATGTGTCATGTGAGGGGAGGCGTGGGCGATGGGTAGCAGAGGAGGAGGACGACGGGGGAGGCGATGGGGAAAGAGGCCAAGGGCATTGGGGACGGGAGGGAAGCGACGTCGACGGGGAGGGGGATTGGAGGGAAAGGAGAGTGATGGAGCAGAAGTAGGGCAACGGGCAGGTGCGCGTATGCCGGGCTGTAGAATGGCAGGCGCATGTATGTTGCGTGCTTACATGGCAGGGCACATGCATTCCGCATAGTTGAACAACTGGCATGTGTTTGGAAGGGAGGGGGATGGAGGTTGAGAGGGTGGGGAAGTTGTAGGTTCAGCAGGAAGGTCAGAAAGGAGGAGAGGGAATGGGAGGAAACTGGAAGGGTGATCAATAAAGACAACGCATCACCCACCCTAGAGTGTTTGCCCAACGCCCCCTGCGGCTGATGCCCCCTCCTTCCCCACCTGATTCACCTCTCACTGCAGCTGATTCACCCTCCCCTGTAGATGATTCATCCTCCCTTGTAGATGATTCACCCTCCCCTCTAAATGATCACCCTCTCCTGTAAATGATTCACCCTCCCCTGTAAATGATTCACCCTCTCTTGTAAATGATTCACCCTCTCCTGTAAATGATTCACCCTCTCTTGTAAATGATTCACCCTCTCCTGTAAATGATTCACCCTCCCCTGTGAATGATTCACCCTCTCCTGTAAATGATTCACCCTCCCCTGTAAATGATTCACCCCTCCCCTGCGGCTGATTCACCTTCCCCTGCGGCTGATGCAACACCCGTTGCGCCTGTTCCACCGTCCACTGCGCCTGTTCCACCGTCCCCTACGCCTGTTCCACCGTCCCCTGCGCCTGTTCCACCGTCCCCTGCACCTATTCCACCATCCCCTGCGCCTCTCCCACCGTCCCCATGCTCATGTTCACCGTCCTCTGCGCCTGTTCCACCTTCCAAAGCGGCTAATGCACCTCCCGCCGCAAGTGATGCAACACCCCGTGCGGGTAATTGCACGGCCATCGCCACGGACGTTACCACGCACTTAAGCGGTGCGAATGGAAGGAGTCACATTGAGGAACATCGTTGCCATGTAGGGGGTAACGTGCGAACTCCTCGTAAGTTGCAAGCTGCTGATCAACGGTCACATTTTGTCATTGTCGCGAGCGCCGTGGCCAGCCTCCATCAGAATTTTTGGTTTGCTCATCTGCAAAAACATAAGGCGTGAAATGAGACGAGCTTTGACTTTAATGCGCCTAGCTTTCGTCAGAAAATTGAGCTGGCTGCAAGAACCGTGACGTGTGGATGCGAACCGATACAGTAAGATGGAGTGCGGCAAACGACAGGGAACAAGCATCGCGAACGTTGGAAAATGATGGAGAACACGCAAACCTCCGCGGCAAATACAGTCTTCCTCCTCCTAGAAACTTGCAGTAGTATAGCCACATGTTATATTTATTGTGATAGGCTTGCCCGCGTTTTGCGGCTTTTAGTCTCTAGGGCGCGAGCATTCGGTCAGCCACGTTATCGTGGCGCCGTGTGCGCTTCCTACCGGTAACCGCAGACCCAAGGCTTGCCATGGAGGGAGAATAGGCTAGAAGGAAAGAGCAGATCGTAGCACGTCCAGAAGCAGCATGCAAGTTATTACCCCTTTTTGCGAAATGAGCACGGAATGATGCTGGCACACTAGATGGTTATTCTACGGCGACGTGAATCACGAACCGCGAGAACCTGTAGAGATAGCGGTACGACTAGCGGGCATGTTAGTTCGAGCCCTGCGGATTATTAGTGACAGAAAGAGTTTTGCGGAGCACAACGCAGACGAAACCTAAAACGCGAATGCATGCGCTGTTCGAGGCAGTATGGCGCAAGATGGGCCGCCGATCGCGCTACGGTAAGTTAATACGAAACTGCAGGTGAGCTGAAGGGATTACGATAAAGAAAAGACATGTGCAACAAGAAAAGACTTCCGAGTTGATGGGTGAAGTCAGCATAAATCTGGGATTTGTTTATGTGGGCTTTATCTAGAGCTACTGTAGAAGGGAATCCCGAAGGAACGAGCCATGAAGTTAGGCTATGTTTGAAGTGCAATTTGCTTAGGGCTGTCACCATTTTGCCGGCCTCGTTTTCGTTGCAAACCCTAAACAAACCATTCTTGCGAAGTCATGTTACTCGCACCGTCAAAGTATCGCGCGAAACTCGGTTATTGCGAAGGCTGTAACACAGATTCGCAAGAACGGTTTGTTTTGACGTTAACGAAAGTGGCAAAATGGTGACGCGCCCTTATAGTGGGAACCCGAAAGAGAATGGTTAGTGCTTGAATCCCATGTAAGGCTTTGAGCAACAACAAAGCGTGTAATGGTACGGAAACCTCTGTAACGAGTTCAGATTCGGATGTCATGTTTGAAAGCTTGTTTCAAGATTCAACTCTGCCATGTTTCATCGATAGTCTCCAGTCAGGGATTACCATTGGATTTACACCAAGCCTATGGCTGCTGCCGTTCCACGGAATCGCCGGAGCCTAGAGAAGTGCTGTTGTTTCATTTTCGAACATAAACCCGAAAATTTACCCTTAGCCGCGCGCGATTCCTGCTGTCGCTAGTCTGCTAGGCATTGCCACTTCCCGCTGAATTTCATGTACCATTTGGCTGCTGCAGCTCCACGAAGTTGTCGGACCTTAGTTTCGTTCTTGAGCGGGCATGTGAAAGTTATCAATATGCAGCGTGTGTTTCCCGCCTTCGCTTTCTTGCCAGGCCCACTGGTTGTTCTACCCACTGCTCTGATCTCTGGCAACGAGCCGCCTGATCTCTCGCGTGGAGGCTCGGTATGCCTTCCGAAGCAGAGATTTCGACCTGAGGGCAGCGGAACCAAAAGTTTTCAAGCCGCAGCCCTTTTCGGATCCTACGTGAGAGTCGAGCAGCCAATCCATTCGTTTCGTTTGCTGCCCTTGTAGAATATTTCGACCGGGGCAACATGCCAACCCCAAGCTGAGAAAATCGCGGAGGCGGACAAGAGCTTCAATACTGAAGATAGTAACTCCGAACCTGTCCCCTCTGCTGCCCTTCCGAACATCCGTCCTCCCTCTCTCTTGTGGTGCTTGGCTTTGGATGCTGGCACAGGTGCTGCAGAGGACGCTGGTATGGGTGCTGCAAAAGACGCTAGCATGGATGCTGCAGTGGATGCTGACATGGATGCTGCAGTGGATGCTGACATGGATGCTGCAGTGGATGCTGACATGGATGCTGCAGTGGGTCCCGTTGCAGGCACAGCTCTGTTGCTCTCAGGCACAGCTCTGCTGCTTACAGGCATAGCTTTGCTGTTCGGAGGCACAGCTCTGTGGCTTGCAGGTTTAGCTCGGTTTCTCGCAGGCGCGGCTCTTCTGCGTGCAGGCACAGCAATGTTGCTTGCAGGCAAGAATTCAGCCTCGAGAAAAGCAGCAGTCGGTTCCAAGTTAAGCAGTGTAGGAGCTCTTGCTGTGAAGACTGTTGCTGGGAAGGGGAGGAACGTTCTGGTTGTGTCTGTGTGCCATGAGAAAGATATGAGGCGGCAGGAGAGAGTTGGCAGCGTAAAACCTGAGGAGAAAATGGGTAATGTGAGGGCAAGGTTGGGTGCAATGAGGCTCCCTGGCGGTTGTGAAGAATGACCTGTGGCAATGGGAGTGGTCCGAGAGCATCAGGTGCAAGTGAATGCTACTGGTGTGGCTGGCAGCATTGATTACGGTAATTGATAGGTGAAGGCTTGTATAGGTACTTCGTTTAGGACTTGTAGCATATCATCCCTATAGTGCTAAGCATGTTTAGGGAAAATGTTTTGAAATTGGTGCTTACAAGTGTGGCTATCTGCTGGTGGGATAACTGAGTCATGATGACCAGGCCTCTCGTTATCAGGGTAAAATACCCTTTTTGCACTGACTGGCGGCCGCTTTTTTTCAGTTACCCTTTCACAGGCAGGGTAGTGGATTTTTTACCCTAGGCCAGAAAGTGTAAGTTTTTCAATACCCTTTGAAAAGCAGCATAAGGAACACATTACTCTGACTGTACAGTGTACAATCCAAGCTATACTGGTACTGAGTGCTCCGTAGCGAGACGAAACACTATACAGGTCCCTGCAAAACGATCAAATAGCGAGAATTGAACTTACGACCTTGCGATCTAATGCGCAATTGTACCAGCTGAAATACTAGCCATTGATCTCGAGTGCTTCGGGATTTTAACTAACCATAAAGTTTTAAGAATACCCTGCCAAACAGACTAACTGTTTTTTTTACCCTGCATTTGACAGGGAAACCAAAATTTTACCCTACGCATCAGGGTTGACTATACCTAGAACCCTGATTACTAAGGGTGGCCCAAAACGAATCTGAAGCCCTGATGATGACGCTCTATTGGCCACATCAAATACTGCATATGATACAGCTACCATGTTCCTGCCTGCTTCGGCACGGCAGCATGCTGCAAGCCACAACACAACATTGCCACCTGTTGAGCTGAATCTCTGGAAAGTAAAAATATATCTCAACTCAAACTATTCCAACAACCTGTTGACTGATCACCGAACTCCAGCTAGCTGGACTAGACGGTTGAGCCGGTTTGCTTCGCATTTTCAGCATGCAGCATGCAGCATGCCAATCGAACATGCAAGAGCGATAAGGTTCCAATCCAAGTACCAGTATAGCAGGATGGAGTCTGCAGGAAGTAGAGCTAAATCTTTCCCTTTCCCAGGGCGCCTCAGGAATCAAGATAGAGCCAGCCAGACGAAGTAGAAAACCCTTTCCTTATCTCGGTGTCTCAGAGGAAGTACCGGAAGGATTTTTTTTTTTTATTTTTTTGCGTGAGCCGCCCTCCCCAACGAGGTCGTTCCACTTCCTTAGCTCAGCCATGCTGCTGCTATCCCCCGCCGTGACTTATGAGTCGACTCAAGAAAAACCTTCTTGCAGTGCCTCAGAGGAAGTAGGACAGTTTTCTTTCTTGCGCGAGCCGCCCTCCCCATAGAGGTCGTTCCACTGCCTCAGCTCCGCCATGCTGCTGCTGTCCCCCGCCGTGCTCGGCGCCACCTGCTGCTTCGCCGCCCGCATGTCCGCCATCGTGATTGGCCGCAGCCGTAACACGCGGTTACCACCGCCGCCACCACTGCTGCCGCCGCTGCCAGCAGCACCGTCTGCTCCTGCCTTGCCCAGCCCTGACAGGCCTGCACCCGTGCGCTCGCGCCAGCTGTCCTCGGCTAATTGGAGGAGGGAGACGCTGCGAGGGCGAGGGAGAGAGGTCGCGGAATCCGGTGCTTGCGACTGCTGCTGGTCTTGGCTCTGAGTGTCGTTTTCAGTGCCTCCTGGACCTCCTTCCCCGTCTCTCCGCTCTGCTTCACCTTCTGATTTACCCACCTTCTCTAGCCTTTGTGATGGAACTACCTCCCTTTTCCCCGGCATCTGTTGCTGACGTGTCGTCCTCACGTGTGATCTCCTTTACCATCTCCAGCGCAGCTGCCATGTCAGCGCACAGGTCAGCAGGGGAGGCGCTGCTGCTGTCATCAGCGCCGCGCCTCAAAATGTCCTCCACGATGCCCCTCACTAGCGCCTCCTCTGCTGCCTCCTCTGCTGCTTCTTCTGCTGCCTCCTTTGCTGCTTGATTTCCTGCTTCTTCTGCTGACTCCTTTGCTGCTTGCTTTCCTGCTTCTTCTGCTGACTCCTCTGCTTCTCCCTCCCTTCCCTCCACCTTCTCACTCCGCCCCTTCTCACCTCCTCCGTCCTCCTTACCCCGTGAACCGGCTAATGAACCCGCTTCTTCACCTTCTGGTTCCTCAGTTTGCAGCCTCTCTCCCTCTCAGCAACCCCTTCACTTTCACTCTTCCCTGCGATTGTTTTGTCCCCAACAATCATACTGTCCCC